GTATCACATTCAAAAATTGGTGGATCATTCTTTTTAAACCTCTCATTTGTTGATTCTATAACATCATGTCCTCGAGTTGCTACTGGCATTGCCTCCTATCCTTGGGCCAATAATTGCTCCAATTGTCTAGATTCTCTTTCCACCAACTCTGTTAGCCTATTAATTATCACATCAGTTTGATTTTCTTACGTGGATGTCTCTCTACCATCGGGAGTCTCCTCCCGAATATTACTAGAGCTACTAGCCAACCCTTTGGTTCTCATGATATTTTCTGATTAATCTCAAGTTGTTCACACCCTATCTACTAAGTATAAGAGCATCAAATAATAATAAGAAAATCAATGTAACTCAATTATTAAAACTTATAAGATAGTTGGGTAGTGCGTCTCATGCTTTTATAGATACAGATACTCTATAAGACTCATTACTTAGGTTATGATATCATAACTTGTAATACCCTACTCCTAGTTTCACCTATCCCCTACATGCATGACTAAACTAGGATGTTACATTTTAAATTTTCATTACTGTTATCATTAGAAGTGTAATAAAAAGTAGACAATATTAAAATTAAAATATATTAATTAACTAAACAAAATGATAAGGTTTCTCTTGTACATAGTGTTTTTGACACATGTAGATAATTACAACTTCTATCCACAAGAAAAATACAAATATGACATATCCAAAATTTATACACATAAAATACTCATAAGTCATCATCCATATTTGTGTTGATATAAAAGTGCATGTATGTATTATTCTTGGAAAACATGGAAAGCCATTACATGTGCAGCAAAAAAACAGAATACAAAAAATGGCTTCCCAAAAAATGATATAGGAACATCGTGTGATGATTAGGAGTGAAAAACTCAACAAACCGAAAAATCACATAAGATTCATGAGATGTTCTCACCTATGGGGAGATCGTATATTCTCGAAAAGGCAGATCCAAGTACGTGGATGAAAGAGGTCATATGTCCTCCTATCGAACGATGATTCTTAGGCAGATGATACAATGATGCACCTCCTTTTGCAGTGTAAATCCTCGCAGCTTTCGCACACCACCTCACAATAGCAAACAAAGAAAGGCTAACATCTTTTTTGCTGTTCTCATGCACCACCAAGGGCTGTTGGCTGAGGAAGAGAGGGAGGGAGGAGAATAGGAGGAGGCGGTCAAAAAAGATCTAGCCCATGACCCTTTGGCCCCTCTCATATTTATAGAGGTCTTTGTCAACTTAATCTTAATGGATCCTACCCTAATGGGTATTGGATCTCCATCCAATCACTCTAGCATATTAGATACTAGATCTTCATCTAATTATCCCTAGTTTAATGGAAATTAAATCTCTATCCAATTATCCACTTTAAGCTCTTATTAGGTCTCACCAAATAGATCTAATAAAAAAAAGTTACTAGATATCACATATTCAATCCTCTATTCGTCGTGTCATCCACCATATGTGTGTGACCCTCTAGGCCTAATACCGAGCTGACCATGAGTTGCACATATCAGAACTCCTTCTGATTCAGTGAATTATTATCTCATAATAATTCACTCAACTCATCGACTATGAACGTACTAAGTCACCACGACATAGTCCTTAAACAATACAAATGGATCTAATCCATTGGATATATCTACCATCAATTACCATGTATCTATAGTCTCCCATCATTCTAATATCCCTGAGATCATATACCAGATATAGTGTTGTCAAGCCCATACGGAATCTACTCGAGTCTTACTCTAATCAAATTCTCTTGGAGAACTTATTCTCTCTCAATCTGAATGACCATGACTAGGGATTTACTTGAATAAGAACACATGAGATATTTCTCTCATGATACTGAGAGCGGATGATCCTCTATTGACACCCAATTACCTTTGTAAGGTTAGCTACCACTCCCGATGACCGGTTGTGTTAAATCTGAAACTTCCAAACTTATAAGTCAGGTATCAAATAGTAAAGTATTTATACAAAGCTTCCTTGGTGTCTTAAGTCTAAGGACCAGATACACAATTGGAACTACAAAACTGTTGTCTAACAATGAGGTATCATTAACAATCTAGCATTCTGTGAGCAGATCATTTAGTGAACTCATTCTCCAATGAGCACCTGCACCAAATCTCTAGTATCCCCACATAAACAACTATAAGATCAACTATCTCTATTATATGGATGAGAATATAGAAGTCTCTCTGATTATCTCGATGTCTCTCGAGTAACCTATGATAGAGAATATTTATAATATATATTTATAAACAAATTGGTCTCATTATCATGATCTAATTCCCGTTGCACAGATTCATAGATATCACAATGTATCAATCATATAATATAAAGTAAGAAAATACCATAATAATTATAATAATAACAAAAAAGACTATACAATGTGTCATACATACTATCACTCATGTGATTGATTTATAGGGCACATGTAACTAGTAATTATGATATGTGGTATAGGAATACGCGTATATGCTATGAAGTGTAGTATGGAAGTACACAAATATGTTATAATATGCAAATGCACGTATATGCTAATGGTATAAGAGTACATATATATATGATGACATACGGTGTAGAAATGCATATATGTATTATGACATGTAGTATGAGAGTGTACGTATATATATTATAGCGTATGGTGTGGGAGTTCATGTATATATTACAATGATATATAGTATGAGAATGTATGTATATGATATGATATGGGGTATAGAAGCTCATAAATTTACTATTTTTTCTAATTTATATATAATATTTTTAAATTATTTCATTGTAAAATTTTATATTCTTATTATGCATATATTATATATAGGGTTATGACTGCTAAAATTTTATATTTTTATTATACATATATTATATATAGGATTATGACCGCTAAAGAAGTTATGATCGTTAAATGTCTTATGTCAATAATTTTAAAATATATATGACATCATGCATCAGCTAACTCCTCACATTGAACAAATATGTAATTTTAGATGATAGGTCATTTGTAGCTCGCTCAGCTAAGTGCCCTCCTTGTTT